ATGCGTCGGACACTGGAGTTGGGGCAGTTCTTTCTCAACGGTCGGCCGAGGATCAGAAGATGCACCCGTGTGCCTTCTTCTCTCGAAGCTGTCCCCAGCAGAAAAAATTATGACATTGGAAATCGAGAACTGTTGGCAGTGAAACTTGCCCTGGAAGAATGGAGACACTGGTTGGAGGGAGCAGAGCAGCCTTTTGTGGTCTGGACTGACCACAACAATTTGGAGTACATCCGTTCAGCTAAGCGGCTGAACTCTCGTCAAGCCAGGTGGGCTCTGTTTTTCACACGCTTTGATTTTTCTCTTTCATACAGACCTGGTTCTAAGAACATCAAACCTGACGCCCTGTCTCGCCAGTTTCAGCCAGAGAGCTCTCCATCTCATACTGAGAATATCATCGCTTCTACATGTGTCATTGGTCTGGTGACCTGGGAGGTGGAGGATAAGGTCAAGCGCTCTCATGCTGAACACCCAGCCCCAAGTGCCTGTCCTGTTAACCGTCTGTTTGTTCCTGCCACTCTCCGTACCCAGGTTCTCCAGTGGGGTCATAACTCTCGCCTGGCTTTCACTCAGGAGTGAGACGGTCCCTAGCCCTGATTCGACAGCGATTTTGGTGGAGAAGGATATCAAGGAAATTCATTGCTGCTTGCCTAGTCTGCTCCCAAAATAAAGACTCACGCCAAGCTCCCTCCGGTCTTCTTCATCCCTTGCCTATCCCTCATCGTCCCTGGTCCCACATCTCCTTGGATTTTGTCACAGATACTACCACCCTCAGACGGTAACACAGTCATACTCACAGTCATAGAGGTTTTCCAAGTCTGCCTGCTTATTCCATTAACCAAATTACCTACTGCCAAGGAAACGGCTGAAATCATGCTACAACATGTGTTCAGGCTGCATGGTCTCCCCAGTGACGTTGTGTCTGATCGGGGACCACAATTTACTTCTCGTTTTTGGTCCGAGTTTTGCAGGCTGCTGGGAGCCAGTGTCAGTCTCTCGTCCGGATTCATCCCCAGTCCAATGGTCAAGCAGAGCGAATGAACCAGGAGATGGAGACTGCCTTACGCTGTCTGCCTCTCCTCACTCTCCTCCTCCTGGTCGAGGCAGCTTCTATGGGTTGAGTATGCCCACAACACCCTTCCTAGTTCTGCTACTGGTCTTTCTCCATTCCAATGCTCCCGCGGATACCAGCCACCCTTTTCCCGGCACAGGAACGTGAGGCCAGCGTCCCATCTGCCAGGCGTTTGTAAGCCGATGTCGACGCATGTGGTTAAAGGCCCGCTCTGCGCCAATCACCGTCGCAAGCCAGCTCCACAGTACTCCCCAGGGCAACGTGTCTGGCTCTCCACACGGGATCTCCCTCTCAGAGTTGAGTCGAAGAAGTTGTCTCCCCGTTTTGTAGGCCCATTTCCCATATCTAGGGTCATCAATCCTGCAGCTGCCCGCCTGCGTCTGCCCCCTTCTATGAGGATTCATCCTACCTTCCATGTGTTCAAGATCAAACCAGTTAATGTGAGCCCTCTTCAGCCCCCCTCTAGACCCCCACCACCACCCCAGATGATCGACGGGGAGACAGTTTACACTGTCCGTCGCCTCATCAAGTCCCGGCGACGTGGTAGAGGGTTGCAGTACCTGGTACACTGGAAGGGTTATGGTCCTGAAGAGCGTTCATGGGTGCCCGCTTGCAGTATCTTTGACCCATCTCATTACTGACTTTCACCAGGCTCATCCCGATCAACCACATGGGACGTCAGGAGCCGCCATAGAGGAGGGAGGGGGGGGGGGGGGGGGGTTCTGTCACAAGTTAGACACTTCTATTATTGTTTGTTTGGTGGCTCATCTAACTCTCCTGTCATTTCAGATCCCGCCTTCCTCCAGGCCCTTGTAATCAGCTCACTTCCCTCACCTGGTCTCCCCAGCCCTTCCCCTCACCTGTTACTCATTCCCTCATCACCCCACAGTATTTATACCACCTCACTATCACTGGTCCTTTGCCAGATTGTCTTGTCGTTTCCGCCAACCTCTCCAGTGAGTGTTATTCTCAAGCCTAGATTTTTGTCCTGCCCGGTTTTTGACCCCTGCCTGCCTGTATTCGGATCTCGAGTTCCTGCCTGCTCCCTGTCTGGTTTTGGTTGCCTGTCTGACGGATTTCCTGGTTTTGACCCTGCCTGTCCCTGACCTGAATAAACTGAGCATTGCAAAACACTGGTTGTATCTGTGTCGTGCTATTGGGTTCCGATCTGTACCTGTGATCGTGACATAGGACTTGTGTTGATCAGTGCCAGATAATGACATCATGAGCCAGAGATAATTGTCATTGATCCTACAAGTCAATAAGATTTGTATTGATTGTTAGAAATGAACTGAGATCAGCCTCACATTATGTGGAAAACACAGATATGCGTGAAAGTGCTCCAACAGACGGAGCAGAGGGGGCTGTATGCTGTGAAATACTTCATGGGGAGGGGGGAGAATGATACATTCATGTTCAATATGCACGAACAATATCTTTTAACAATCTGAATCCTGCACATCTCTGCTCCACGCATCTCTGCTGCACGTCTCTCCACTTTGAATATCATATTTGTCAGAGTAAGCTCTTCAATTTCATTTCCTGGGCTACAGCCATGACCATATATCCCCTATTATCAATGAAAGAGTGGATGAAGGGAGAGAAAATGTATCAATCTGTCAGGATATAACAACACCCTGTGCTCCTCTCTCCCACAGGTCCCTGAACGTGTCACAGCTTCAGCATGGCTACAAACACAAGCAGGGGATACTTTGTCCCCAAAACACCATCAGCCCTGTCAGTATTTTGGAGGACAAATTATTTTTAAGATTAAATATTGAAAAGACCAACAATTATTGTTATCTGCAGAATCGAACTGCTGAACTGCTGAGCCTTTTGTCGGCTTAACATAGGTTTAGTCTTGACTTGAGACCAAACAACGGAAATATGTTCAGCACATGATGTAGTTTTGTTTAGTTTTTTTTTAATTTTTTTTAGCAGGTCCCTCTGCTGTATGTGTACGTAGCCATCAGGCTGCACCACCAAGGGTTAACCCTGAGCCGTCAATAATAACCTGCACTGAACATTCATATTCATAATGGCATAATTAACATGTATATGTACATTCACCTGTTCAGAGTTTTCTTCTGCTCCTGGGGGGGCAGAGGTTGCTGCAGTAATGTCTGAAGGGGGCTGCACCTCATGTAATCTTTTTTCCCTTTTATTGTCATTACACAGTAGGCTACCGGTACTATGTAACAAAATGGTTTCTCTGCATTTGACTCATGAATCATGATAGTGTTAGGAGCAGTGTGCCATTATGAACGGCGCTCGGGGAGTGCCTTGCTCAGGGACACCTCTGTAGCACTTGGTCTTGCCGGGGACTTCGCTACCACCCGCCCTATTATGTGCTTCAGATTAAGGGTGAAAAAGAAGACCAAAATACAAACGTCCTAGTTTAAGGGAGTCACTGGCCGTCAAATCTGCACCATCAAGGATTTGTAAAACTCATGTTTTTTTTATGAAACAGGTGGGTTGTCTCCGATCTGCATGTCAGTCAGGAATTTTAAAGTATTTGGGCAAATATATTATTTTGTTTTCCTATCACATTTTAAAACATTCCACCGGACTCTTTCTTGTCATGATGCGTTTCCTACTCATGACTTATTTTTGTCACATATTAATTACAGGTATTTGTTGACATATAACAGTATTTTGATTTGACACCAGGGGAGTCAACTTCATATGAAGAGACACGACACCATTCAGAAGTGTACGATGCTGTAGAAAGCTCCAGGAAAAGGGAATATGTTGGCACTAAGTTTACAGCTGCCTGATGCATGTATTATTCCTCTGTAGCTGAAATGCATGACGGTATAATTATGTATTCCAACTTGAATCTTCACAATAATGCAGCATTCAAGTGCAATCAGGGATAAATAACAGGTATCACAGAAGTAGAAATATAGAGTTTCAGTATTGGAACAATTATGTTTGCAACTCTTCTATGGCCTTTAAGCTTTTGTCTACAGAATGTAATTGCAAACATTTTTTAGCAAAGATACAAGCCGTGTACATTTTATTTGGGATCCTTTATTTTCTTTATCTAAAAAAAAAAAAGGCAATAAAAGTATCAATTGTATCCACTTGCACCTATAAAGACCTACTCACATATGATCTCATTCTAGGACCAATGGGGGCCTGAACCAGGACCCCTGTGGTGCAGAAGAGCTGCAGCTCCCTGAGCGGCCAGTGGAGAGAACACATGTTTGAGTCTGGTGACGACTATACAGCAGTTACATTGTCCATCACTCACCCCTGACGCTTTCTGTGTGCAGGACGAAGGGCCGGGGAAGCAGAAAGAGAACGGCGCTGAAGCCCGCCGAGTCACCAGAGACTCAAACATTCTGCAGCTTTGTTTTAGAGCCTTTTAAACTATACAGCTACATCTTAGAAGTGAATTTGTCAACGCTTTCTAGATATGAAGTTGTTAGTCTTCCACCCTTAAAACAGAATCCTCACGGTAAAGGAAGCCCAGATTTCATTACCAGGAAATATTCACTTTGTGCAATTATGTGAAATACATACTTTTTTTTGGTATAAATGTCCCAACACTAATATGTAACCGTCACTTAGTTTTATTATCATTTATTTTTAATTGCTGCTATGAATTTTTAGCCATATTTGTGTACTTATTTTGTCTTAATTATTTGTTCATTAACATGATCAGTGTGCTTTTCTTCTCTATATGTAATAAGTTAGCTTACTCTTTAATATTGTCACGCTGTGGGACCAATAAAGGAATTCGGATTGATCCCACAACATTCATAACACATTTGAATGCAAATGGATGGATTTTCTTTCAACCTTGCACGATCCACTTTTGAAGTCATTAAACTGGCCACATTTAGCTCAGATGTTGCATGTCTGTCAGGACTTCCTGTCTCTCTGATGTTTGTTGACACGCATAAAGAATCATTCGCACAATCAATCCGTACTTCAAGCTCCATTTAATGTCCTAGCAAAAGGAGAATGTGACTGTTCTAAGGAGTGAGTAAAATAGAAAGTGCATTTGTTTTCACTGAAGTTTGACATAATAAAAAAAGATCAAAGCAGTTTGTCAGACGGAGCAGAATCGTTAATTTTGTAGAAATAGCAAAGAAATCAGTAAAGGTACTCTGTTGGAGTATTTGGTGGGATGGTGTAGATCAAAGGCACAGCTCTGTATCTCACTGGGGATTGTTGCACACGCACAGAAAACACATGCACAAGCCTTCAGAATACATTTCCCATGATGCTCTGACAGTCTTACGATCTACAGTCATGTTGATGCAAAACGCTCATGGAGATTTCTGAGAGGCAACAAAACGTTTATCCAGAGAATGGTGCTTTTTAATTTGGAGCCTGTAAAAGGGATAACATAGCATTAAAATGTGTCCATCAGCCGATATTAAAGCGCTATGATCCTGGAGAAATCAGAAGAAGCAATGATGACCGGCGGGCGGGGCCTTTTATCACATCCTGTTCTCTTTTCTCTCATGTTTAAATAGTTTGCTTAAAGAATGACCCAAACCCTTGGTTACAACTGATCTTGCTCTAACAGTCAAAAAGAAAAAAGGAAATTAACATTCAGTAAACAATTCTTCTCTAAAAGGTCCATTCCCTTATATAATCTGTCATGTCTTCTCTGCCATTATGTATACATAAACAAGTTTAATAACATACCAATCAGTGGTTATTTCACAATTGGAAAAGCACAAAATGTTTACACTCTTTTACAGGTAAATAAAAGTTTTCCGACTGTTTTCATAAGGGCGTAGCATACTTCATAGTTCGTCTCACGGCTCCCACATCCCCCCCGCTATCTGCTATTAGATCTTTACATACAAATATTGACAAAGTGGTGGCTTGTGCTCTGAAGCCATCAAGTCTTTTGGAGAGTAATAATCATCATGAGGAGGGAGGAGGGGGGGACGTGATGCTGGGAATGGATGGGGGGGGGTGTGGACTCATAGCTGGCCCTCGCTGTCCTGGCTGCCCCCCGGCTTCTCTGCGTCGGGGGGGCCTGGCAGCTCTTTGAGGCCCGTGCTGCGTTCAGGGAAGTTGTCTCCGTCGGGCTCCAGGCCGTCGGGGCAGGGCAGCTTCAGGAGCTCCTCTCTGAGCTGAGCCGTGTGCCTCTGTGGGGGGGGGGGGGGGGGGGGTTAATGTTACAGCAAACATTAAGCACAGCTCTCTCATGATACATGCTGTGACAGAATAACAAAGCATGAGGTAATACAGGAGGGGGGGAGGCAACAATATTTTAAAGATGAGGAGGGTGTTCAGCCTCCCCCTCCCCCCAATGCAGCTTGCAGTTAGAAAATATGCATACAATTATGACATGGTCAAAATACGTACTTGCCTGATAATTAAGTTAGACACAGTTGAGTATAGTGTATATATATTTAACCTACATATTTGTATATATGTACATTCACCTGTTCAATGTTTAACTCATATCATTCTTTCTATTAATTCTGTTAATACATATGTGTTCTTATTATTTCTATCTTTATTATTCCAAGTGTTTCTGCCTTATTCTGTTGATGCCATGACACCTTCATGTCCCTACGGGGATCAATAAAGGTCCATCAGATCTTATACTTGACTTTGAAATATGGTAACTCAATTAGAGGAGTATAAAGTGTTGTGTTCAGGGTCCTGCAGCTGTGTGACATCTGGATTGTTCACAGTGAGGATAAATGTGCCTATATAGCACCAGGCAGACACAGTTTGTGGGTGTGGCTAATTGTGTGTGTGTATCTGTGTATGTTATGAGCTACTGAGTGGCCCAGGGTGGTCTGCAGAGCCCCTGCCCCCTGCAGCTGTTCACTAGCAGGGCTCTTTCAGAGTACACTTTATGTGGAAGATATTCACACAGGAAGTGGAAAAGCCCCTTAAGACCCCGTAATACCGACTGTGCATTTTCAACACATTGAGCAGTATTGGTTCCCTGGGCAAGACACTTCACCCAACATTGCTCCTGTGGGGCCCACAGTACTGAATGTATGTACGTCGCTTTGGATAAAAGCATCTAACAGGTGACATGTAATGTCATTGCAGTGCGTTACCAGTGTTTTGTGTAACATGTAGGGCAACCTTAAGAGCCTTGAACTGCGCCTTTATAAATAAAATGTATTATTACCTTGAGTGCAGCAGCATGGTGGGACATGGTGCGGCCCACCCTCTTGTCGCTGCTGTACTGCTGGATGTCAGCGATCCACTCCTCACACTGAGACATGATCTCCACCCGCTTCAGGTAGAAGTGTTTGTGGATCACCTGCAGAGACACGACGGGGAACTGATCAACTACAGCCAGCACAAAGAAGGCTCTCCAATAACAAGTGTCTGTGTATATATCAAATAATAATAAAAGCTGTAAAAATAACATTTCTTTTGAAAAACTATGAAATAATTGAATGTCTGCTAGCAAATGGATGTTCCAATGTATGTTTATTAACTACATGCCCCCCGTCAGGAGTCCAGACTGACACACTGAGTGCCTGCTCTCTAAACAATCAGAGCCCTGACGGCACCAGGCGTCAGGACACCTGTCAATCATCCGGCTACATCAGAGAAACATTTCCCAGCTCCAACACGTGTCAGCTCTTCAGAAAGAACACCTTTCAGCCATGAGGAAACACCACTGACAGTTCTTTAGTATTACTTGCAGTGTTAAAAGCAGCCTGACCAAACATTCAGTCGTGTATCTCAAGCTGCCGTACACGTTTGACACTGATCTCTCTCTTACTGAGGAGTTGTTTATTATGGAGGGCCTCTCTGACATCATGTGTAGGACCCTCTTCTGGAACACTGATGTCAACATCTAGCCCCCAATCTGGCCTCCCTAACAACCGTCTCCAGGGCCATCGGTATGGAGTGAGTGCTGGATGTGTCTGCTGTTCTGGGTGAGGGAGGGATGGATCAGTTATTATGGCGACTGCTGATTTACTGGTTACCAGGGGGGAGGCAGAGAGGGTCTGTGGAGCTTTCATCTTCCTCCTCTCTCTTCATCTTCATCCCACTCTGGGGCAGCTTCCCATCTCCTCCTCTGTCAATGTTCCTCCCACCCCCCCCCCCCTCCCTGTGCTCCTTAAGTTACAATCAGTGATGTGGGTGAGGGGCCCCAGTGAGAGGGATGCTTCAAGGTCACAGTTGTGTGGTGAACAGTTGAACAGACATGAGTGTGCATACCATGATAAGAAACATAAAGACGGCAGCACATCCTGACCTTATGCACAGACATGTTCAGCCATGTGCTTTAGAGGGGGGGGGGTTCCCCAGGGCTCCATGTGGGGAGGGTCAGTAGCCGTTTAACTTTTGGTATTTAGACATGACCATCGATCACCACATGGGAGGAAGCGCTGTATGCTAACCATGATGAGGGTGGAGGATGTTCTGACAAATGACCTTTCAGGAAATACACACACACACACACACACACACACAGTACATTGAGCTGGTAAGTGCAGTCAGAGCAGGTTCTCTGATGGAGAGCCCGCTGCTGAAAAACCCTTTGAGGTAATGCTGTCCACTCATTATTCCACAGGGCACACAGAGGAAGAGCAGCTGACGGAGGGGTGTGTGAGACCCTCCACACACCCAGGGTCAAGGACCAGACTACATCATGCAGCCATTACAAACTTTTGTTCTTAGTTTTCTGTATTTCATCATCTCCAGAGCCTCAACACTAGCCGGGCTAGCAAGGTGTATTTTGAGGGTCTGACACTTTTAGAAAACGTCCTCCCTGCTCCCCAGCAGGGAGGAGCAGTATGTTGCAAATGCATGCAGCCTTGCTCCACAGTTCAAAGCTACACACTTTTACAGGAGAGGGAAAACCCGAGTCTGGCGACGAGACAGACATGTTCAAATGATAAATAAAGCAGCCATAGACTGGCTGCTTCCTCCCTCTGTGAGACTCAGGTGTTCCTGCACACATAGCTGTGGATGTTCATGGAGGGCAGCTCTCGATCCAAACACCCGAGATGATAGGGAGCTAGTTTAGAATGTAAACCTGTCGGTGGCTCCTAAAGATGTGAATATGACAACGCTGCCTTCCCACTCAAACACATATACACAGATCTAGCTATCACCACACACCGAGTTCCACGGCTACCTCCAACATGCACATTCACAAGTGTACTCTTGCTCTCACACAAACACACGCACACCATGATCCATATTTTAACACTCATTGTCCTTAATTCCACATGACACTCTGCTGCTGCATAATTCAAGCCTGTACTCCTCTGGAGCTCCCTCTAAAACACCATGTGGCAACACTGGATTCTCACATACACAAAACTACACATCTTGGTGATTCCACTCATCCAATGCTCAGAGAGAAACAGTAGCAGTGTCTTTAGCATGCTCCCATGGAGCCTGCTGTGGGTTCACGTGAGCCTTGATGATAAAAAGGACTTTCTACACATTGAGCTTATTCAATGTTATGTTGCTGCAGATACACGCTTTACAACATCAGGAGGATACGTCCCCAGCTGACACAGAAAGCCACTCAGGTTCTGGTCCAGGCTCTCGTCATCTCACGCCTAGACTACTGCAACTCCCTCCTGGCTGGTCTACCTGCATGTGCCATCCGACCTCTGCAGCTCATCCAGAATGCAGCGGCTCGCCTGGTCTTCAACCTTCCTAAATGTTCCCACACCACTCCGCTCCTCCGCTCCCTTCACTGGCTTCCGGTAACTGCTAGAATCCACTTCAAGACACTGGTACTTGCTTACCGTGCTGCGAATGGATCTGGCCCTTCCTACATCCAGGACATGGTTAAAACCGTACACCCCAGCACGTGCACTACGCCAAACGACTCGCTGCACCCTCGCTGCGAGGGGGACCCAAGTTCCCATCGGCGAAAACACGTGGGTTTGCTATCCTGGCTCCAAGATGGTGGAATGAGCTCCCCATTGACATCAGGACGGCAGATAGCTTGCACATCTTCCGGCGCAAACTGAAAACTCATCTCTTTCGACTCCACTTCGAGCGATAGAACTATTAACGAAGCACTTTTATACTAATAAAGGACTGGCTTACCTAAAGCCAGTTGAGTAGCACTTGAAATGTTTGGCTCTATGAAACCTGATATACTTTATGATTCTGTTTTCTTCAAGGTTGTGTCTTCCTGGTCGAATGTACTTATTGTAAGTCGCTTTGGATAAAAGCGTCAGCTAAATGCAATGTAATGTAATGTAATGTAATGTAATGTAATGTAATGAACACAGGCTATTGAGGGCACAAGGTTGAAGGAAACCAGTGGGACTATTTTCACAGGGAGCTAAAAAAAAAAAAGGATGCCCCAATGGAACCACTGACTGACTCGCCTTTTGGCCCCGTGTTAGTAGGGCTGAAATGGAAATGATAAAGTGTGGTCTAAACCAGCAGAGACCATGAGCAGTTCATAACTAAACTGTCATAGAAACAAGGATAACGATTTTAACTCACGAATGGAAGAACATCTCAAATGTGGGACTCAAAGTGGGAACACAGGCCGTCAGTTAGATGGAAATTAACAACAAGAAACATGACTTACTCAAGAGAGGTCTCTATTACACTCAATACAAATCACATAACAGCAAGGGCACCCATCGGCCTCCTCTCTCACGGACTGAATACTAGTAAGAGAGAGGGACAGACAGACAGAGGGACAGACAGAGGGACAGCAGACAGAGGGACAGACAGACAGACAGAGGGACAGACAGAGGGACAGCAGACAGAGGGACAGCAGAGTGACAGCAGAGAGAGGGACAGCAGACAGAGGCACAGACAGAGGAACAGCAGAGAGAGGGACAGCAGAGAGAGGGACAGCAGAGGGACAGCAGAGAGAGGCACAGCAGAGGGACAGCAGAGAGAGGGACAGCAGAGGGACAGCAGAGAGAGGGACAGCAGAGGGACAGACAGAGGTTTAGACAGAGGGACAGACATAGGGACAGACAGAGGAACAGCAGAGAGAGGGACAGCAGAGGGACAGACAGAGGTTTAGACAGAGGGACAGACATAGGGACAGACAGAGGGACAGCAGAGAGAGGGACAGCAGAGAGGGGCACAGCAGAGAGAGGGACAGCAGAGAGAGGGACAGACAGAGGAACAGCAGAGAGAGGGACAGCAGAGAGAGGGACAGCAGACAGAGGCACAGACAGAGGAACAGCAGAGAGAGGGACAGCAGAGGGACAGCAGAGAGAGGGACAGCAGAGGGACAGACAGAGGTTTAGACAGAGGGACAGACATAGGGACAGACAGAGGAACAGCAGAGAGAGGGACAGCAGAGGGACAGACAGAGGTTTAGACAGAGGGACAGACATAGGGACAGACAGAGGGACAGCAGAGAGAGGGACAGCAGAGAGGGGCACAGCAGAGAGAGGGACAGCAGAGAGAGGGACAGACAGAGGAACAGCAGAGAGAGGGACAGCAGAGAGAGGGACAGCAGAGAGAGGGACAGACAGAGGAACAGCAGAGAGAGGGACAGACAGAGGAACAGCAGAGAGAGGGACAGCAGAGAGAGGCACAGACAGAGGAACAGCAGAGGGACAGCAGAGAGAGGGACAGCAGAGAGAGGCACAGCAGAGAGAGGCACAGCAGAGGGACAGCAGAGAGAGGGACAGCAGACAGAGGAACAGCAGAGAGAGGGACAGCAGAGGGACAGCAGAGGGACAGCAGAGGGACAGCAGAGAGAGGGACAGCAGAGGGACAGACAGAGGTTTAGACAGAGGGACAGACATAGGGACAGACAGAGGAACAGCAGAGAGAGGGACAGCAGAGGGACAGACAGAGGTTTAGACAGAGGGACAGACATAGGGACAGACAGAGGAACAGCAGAGAGAGGGACAGCAGAGGGACAGACAGAGGTTTAGACAGAGGGACAGACAGAGGCACAGCAGAGAGAGGGACAGCAGAGAGAGGCACAGCAGAGGGACATACAGAGAGAGGGACAGCAGAGAGAGGGACATACAGAGAGAGGGACAGCAGGGAGGACCACTGCAGCGCTGCATCTTCAGCAGAGATGGACAGATGAACCCAAAACACTGTCCAACTATAGCACTGTAGAGACCACACAGCGGACTTCATATACTTTGTCTATAGCACTGTAGAGACCACACAGCGGACTTCATGTACTTTGTCTATAGCACTGTAGAGACCACACAGCGGACTTCATATACTTTGTCTATAGCACTGTAGAGACCACACAGCGGACTTCATATACTTTGTCTATAGCACTGTAGAGACCACACAGCGGACTTCATATACTTTGTCTATAGCACTGTAGAGACC